TTATTTTATTATTATTGATTATATTATTTAGAACATATTAAAAAAATTTAATTAATTAATTAATTAAAATCTATCTCTCTATATATATATATTACAATTTATTTTTTATAAAAAAAAAAAAAAAATAAAAAAGTTTTTGTTTAAAAAAAAAAATAAAAATTTTTTTAAAAAAAAAAAAAATAAAAAAATAATTTTTTCACAATATTCTATTTTTAGAGACCAAAATTATGTGGACATCTTAAGAATCGTTTGACATGACATATGGCTAAAAATGAGATAATTCAATTATTGTTTTTAATACTTAAAAGGATTTCCCCTTTTTTTTTTATTGATTTATTATTTATTTTTTTTTTATTTTTTTTTTATTATGATTATTTTTGTTGATTTTTGATAATTTTATGAATTAATATAAACATTGATTTTGTTGTTTGGATATTGTCACTATTTCTTTTAAAGTTATATTCGAAAATTACTATTTTTGATAAATTTTTTCCAATAATATCCCCAAGATTTGGTAAAAGATTGTTTTCATATAAATATTCCATTACATAATATTTTGGACTTCTATAGTATGATTTAAATTCTATAAGGTTTTTGATAGTTTGAAAGTTAATTTGAAAGTTGAATTGGTTAAATAGGTTCTTAAGTTGATTATAAATCTCAATGTTACCGTCTGTGAGTGATCTGTGGTGGAGAGATTTTAAATAGTCTTCATTTAGATTCATAGCTAAAATAAATTGTTTTTTTTCTTTTAAAACATATCCTATAAGTTGGTGGTAAATCAAATTTTTGATTTTTGAAAATATGAAAAGAATGAAAGCTTTTTTTTGATCATCACAAAAGAATTCAGACCATAGATATTCAAAAATATCAAACCTGCAGTGGCAAAGAGAAGCTGTGTTTCCAATTGAATTTCTTAAATATGGCTGTATTACTTGAATAAAATATTGAATAAATTGATCCATAGATGAACTCTGGAATACTAGGGATACTATTCTAAATTGCATATTATCATTGGGGTCTATTAAATTGTTTTTTAATATTAGGTTCTTAATATACCAATTTAAAGATTTGTAGTTGTAATTTGAGATACATTTTTGTAAAAAATATAAAGAGTTTTGAGTTTCTCGAGTTTCTTCTTTATTGATTATTTCTTCATCTTGATACTTTAGGGTAATTGAAATATATAGTTGTTCTTCGTAATATTTCTTTAATGTATCAGGGACCATACAACAAACTAAAAATTTATCTAAATTAATTTGTGACAGTGCTCTTGATAGGAAACATTCAATATTAAATTGATTTAAATAATGATTTAAATATAAATATTTGATAATATCTTCATTACTATTTAGTGATTTTAGTATATTTATTAAATTATTATTTTTATTATTATTATTATTATTATTATTATTATTATTATTATTATTATTGTTATTGTTATTGTTATTGTAATTTATAATTTTAATTATTGTTGTATAATCTTTCTTATTTATTGATTTTAATAATCTATATATAAATAAATTTGATATGTTAAAATAAAACTGATTAGTTGTTTTGTTTTCACCATGACTAAAAAACAATTTAATTGAATTTTGATCAAGTTTTTCATAGACTTTAATTAATGTATCGGTTTTTAAAAACTGAATTTGATTATACATTTTATATAAAATAGTTGAAAGTGGATATTTATTTTCAGAGTTGCTAAAAAGGTAATTGATAATTGGTAAGTAATCTTTAAGTTGGATTTTGGTATCATCATCTTCCTCTAGCAGCGAAATGGTCTTTGAGTATTTTAAAAATAATTTGATTCCATCTTGATTTATCTTATTGGTTAAAGGGTGGCGACCAAAAATAGACCAAAAAAAATCAGAGTCGGTTTCATGTTCTACAATTCTATAATAATTTGATTTGAATTGAGGATATTTATCCAAAAGCCAAGAAAATACCTTTTCACCGAAATAAAGTATAACAATTCTAAATAGATGTGTCCAGTGGCCATCACACAAGAGAGAGACTATACATTTACCAGACAGAGATTCGTAAGAGAATAGGTGGTCGAAATATATTGTTGCCTTTTCTATATCAAAATTGACCTCTTCTATAAATAGCTCGTAGTTATTCATAAACACAAACAGGTAGTCATTGTCGTCCAATATATCCAGTTGTTTTAGATGGTAGTCAAAGACTTTTGTTGATAGGTTGAAAATTGAAAATAAAAATAAATATTCTACAGCCAATTTGTTTAAAAATGGAAAAAACTTTTCTACTTGTTCATAGTTTTCTTTTTTTATATAATAGTTGATTATATGCACACCAAAATAATGAAGCATATCTCGATAGTAAAGGTTATTATTATAGTTATGGGTATTACTGTTTTCTTCGTTATTATAGCTATTGGGAATAATATGCAGGTTGACCAGCTCAATAAGTGAGTCCATTTGGATTTGATTATCTAAATTTTTAATAGCCTGGTGAAAATCATTAATTGATTTGGTTGGGTACACCTTACGGTTTAAAGCAATAAGTACTGTAAGTATTATATAGTCGATATCATTGATTATAAATTGTGAGGGATTTATGATCTCTTCTAGGGTGTTATCTGTTAGTTGTTGATTGTACATGTTTGGGGTATTTTTGTAAAAACCCATTCTTGTTTTTTGGGTGAATGGGTAGAGTGATTTATATTTGCTGGGTAATGAACTGAAATTTACACCAAGTTGATCCTTAATGAATTTGAATTTTTTTTTATTTACATTAAAATATTTAAAAAATAATAATCTATTCTCTGTGAATACTGGTATTTGATTATCATTTGAGGAATATATTGAATTTTTAATTTTTGTTTCATCGTAAATATCTTCTTCTTTACTGGGTTCAGTTATTTGATTTAAATTGTTTTTGATGTATTCTAGTAATTTGATACTTTTATTTGTTTCTAGTGAATAGTCAAATATACTAAAAAGTCTATAGGATTTATCTATTCTATTATTATTATTATTATTATTATTATCATTATCATTTTTATTGTTATCATTGCTGTTATTATTATGATTAAATAGTATTTTAAATATATTTTTATCTTCTATAAAAAAATCAGAGAGATTAAATGATTGAAAAATATGATTATGTTTTTCTATTAATAATTGAATTATTTTTTTAATCTTTGGGTTATTAAATTTTTTATTATAAAGGGTTATTAAATAATTATTTAGATCGTTTAGTGAAACATTTTTGGAGTTGGGGGTGGATAGTTGGTCAAAGGGTTCGAATAGAATGTTGTTGTAATTGTTTTTGATCGGAGTATTTTTAAATTGTAATAGGAATCTAACGAAATCCTCGCTAATGTGAATATTTTTGTTGGTTTCTAATTTATAGATGATGATATCATATTTTTCGTGATAAAATAATGATTCCAATGAAGTTGTGTCATTTAAACTTTGATATATAATATTATTATTGTTGTTGTATAAAATGAATGATACTATTTTTTTTCTAATATAAATATTATTAAAAACTTTATAAAATAGAACATTATTTCTTTCTATAATGTTATTATAATAATCATTATTAAGATGGTTTTTATTATTGCTGTTATTACATGCCATCATAAAAATATTTAAAATTAATTATAATTTTTGAATTTTTTTTTTAAAAAAAATTTTTAATTAAATTTTTAAAATAAATTAAAAATTTTTTTAATTATTTTTTTTTACTCTTAAAACAACACAATTATAACCTTTTTTAATAAAAAAAAGAAATTTTTAGTTATTTCCTCTTTAGACAAGCAACAATTATAGTTAGTTTACAATAATTATAATAGATAGGGAAAAACAATAAAAATTACAAAAATAGTAATAATAATAATAATATAATAATATGGACAATAATAATGACGATGAACGTAATAACACCTTATTTTGGAAAGTTTTCCGAAATGTTTTTTTAAGAAAAAGAATTCTTCAAGGGTTAAGAAATAATTCTCTACCATTTTTAGAATCGTCTAAAAGATGGGATCAGATGCACTCTGTACATTGGTTAATCAAAAACAAACATATAGGGGCATTAAAAGAAAAGGTTAGATTGGGTGAATATTTAACATTCAGGTCATCCGCAAAGCGTTTATTCACTCTACAAGATGAAGATCTATTAATAGACCTCTACGAAAAGTATACACAAGAGTTTGAATCGATAAACCCAGTTCAACTAGCAACCGAGTTTAATAATTTAAAATTTTTAAAATATCTAATAGATGTCAAAAAATTTTCACCATTTTATCATTTTACAAGTGATAACGATCTATATAATAAAAATAAAAATAAAAATAAAAATAAAAATAAAAATAAAAATAAAAATAAAAATAAAAATAAAAATAAAAATAAAAATATCAACAACAACAACAACAATAATAATAATAATAATAGTAATAATAATACTTGTGAGATATTTGATAAAGCAATTGAAAATGAATTAATTGAAATAATAGATTATTTATACAAAAAGTTTCAGTTTACAATTCCACCAAATATATTTCTTAGAACAACAAATCAAAAGTTTTTACAATACTTTTTAGATCTTGTAGGAGATTTACCAACCAATCATCAATTTTATAAAATCCAATTCTTTACATCAAAATATTATTTATCAAAAATAAACCCAGAAACGTTCAATAGATTGACACAGAACAATTTAATTAACTTTGATACTAAAAATATTTGTTTCAACGAAAGTCTCTTTGATAGCATTACCATTACAAAGAATGATCATGGTCTCTTTGGAGGGTGTAGTAGAAGGTCCTCCCCCGATGATTATAGTAGAGCATACAGCAAAACGTTGTTCGATCTGGATAGAATTTTGAAGATGACCTACTTCAATATTGATGATTCAAATAGCTTAGACTACATTTTAGATTATTATTGTTTGGAAAATAGTTTGTCAATTTTAAATAACTCACCATTAGAGTTATTTTATTTTTTATCAAATTTTTGTATCTTTATCAAACATATCAGCACCATTACAATAAATAATGGTATTAATAGATTAAATAAAATTAAATTTGGGATGGAGCAACTTCAAATTGGTTTATGTGCAGTTTCATCAAGTTTTAAAGATTTTGAAAGATCAACCGAAGAAATGTCCCCCAACAACAACAACATTAGTAAAGAAACTATTAGGTTTTTATGGTCCCTGTACATCGACAACATTTTAATGCCTCTGATGTATTTTAAAGAAGAAAACAATATTCAATACCAACCCGCCCCAAGCTATCTTTATTTATCAAAACATGAAAATATAATTTGCCAAATTTTAATATCGACCAATCAAATTTCACAATTTAAAACAAAACCATTTAATATATTTTTAAAGGATATAAGTTTTCAAGCTATGACACAACTACTGAACCATTCAATTGACTTGGCGTGTATAGAATCCCTAGAATTGCTCCTAGAAATATGGGGTCCAAGTCTATTCTCTTTTGCTTCGATAGCACAAAGAGATTGTGTTCCGTTCAAATACTGCAGAGGTCCAGAATTTGAAGAGAAAAGGAATAGTTATATCAAATCTTTTGTAAATACAATTTATAAGCAACAACTAAACAGGGATGGTAGGCGTGGTAACAACCTCAATAAGGACAACTCTTTTACCCAATTAACAAACTATTTAGTTGGTAGTTTAATGGACCAGCCTATATCAAAGGAATCATTTAAAATATTCAAAGAGATATTCAAAAGGGTTATAGATATATACCCAACCTATATATTTTATCCACCCAATAAAGTTTTCAAGTCAAATAATAAGTTTTTGAAAATTATTTTAGAGAATAGTCAAAACTTCTATTTAGATAGTGGAGTTACCTCATTAGTCGCCCAACATGTACCAGATGCTCTAAAGACACTCATCGTAAAGTGTAAGGTTCCAATTGATATTCGATGCTTTTCATACGCTTTAAGAAATGGTAATGTGGAAAACCTAAAGCTATTACATCAACACAACAGCACCATTTTTTCTTGGCCTGATATTACCATAGCAATTAGTAAAAACCACATTGAGACCATAGAGTACCTATTTGATAATTGTATGAATCTTTTAGACCTTTCGTTCTATGGTAGAGAGCTATTACTTAATGATACATATTTTTACAGTTTTCAATTATTCGATTTAATTCAAGAAAAAGCAGAACAATTGAATATTTCAAAAGATCAACTAGCTCAATTTAAAAGGAACCCATATCTCAGCTATGACGATGAATATTATCAAAATAAGATACCAGAGGATCAAAGCCATGGTTTTAATTTAATTGATCCATATTATTATCTCGATATTGGAAAAATTGAAATGTTTCAAAAACTATTAAAAGATAAAGTTAATTCAATTTTAAAATATGAAGAAGAAAAAATAAACCAAAACTCAAATCCCATATCTCAAGAAATCAATAATAATAATAATAATACTAATATAAATGATAATAATAATGGTCAGATTTCTCACATGCCTCTCTTTAATGTAGTAAACAATCAATTGATAGTAGATAAAGAATATCTTTCTTCAAATCCAATCGATGAAAGTTTGATGAAATACCCTTTATTCAGAGAAATCAATCGTAAGATTTGTAAATATGGTAGCTTAGAGATAATTTTGTCAGTAAACAATATTCTAAAACCATTATTTGATAAATCTCTACACTTCAAAGTCAACTTTATATATATGTTGGCATTAAGCCTTTCGATAGAAGGCCATTTTCAACCACTTAAAGAGTTATTATTAATTGATGATATTAGGAATACCTTGGTTTTTTATAAAGATTACTTGTTAGATCATTTCTTTTACACTTTAGTCGAAAGCAATAGATATTTAAATTATGACTCGAAGAGCTTTCAAATATATAATTATTTTAATCAAATTTTTAATAATAATAGCAGGATAAATTTTGATGCTAATGGTAGTGATGGTAACATAAATCATTATTTCAATAATAATAATAACAATTTTAAAATTGCTACTACATTTAAAAAAGCATGTACATCTTATGGTTTAAACAATATTGAAATTATATTATTGGGCTGCATTGGAGTATTTTACAAAATTCCTATTTTATTTGTTGAAGTTTTTAAAATAGAAAATCCATCGGTTTTAAGGATGGTATTCAAAAGGGATCCAACAAACCAATAAATAAATAAATAAATAAATAAATAAATAAATAAATAAACTAAAATAAAGCATATATTAATTTAAAAAAAAAAAATAAAAATTTATTTATATTTTTTTATTAGCAAAATTAAATTTGATAATATTTTATTATATTTTTTGAAATCGGAATCTTCGCTCGATATGTCCAATAACCAAACACAAAAAGATAGCGCATAAAATATGATTTGTTTATATTGTGTTTTTGTAAATTGTTTAATGTTTGGATCTTGCTTAAAGTAACCCGATTCCATTGCTTCGATGAACCTCCAATCGCCATAGACGTGTGATAAAATTCTACCCAAATCATATAGACCATCTCCTGAAATACCATCTGCAAAATCTATAATACCCAATACCTTGATGATTTGATTTGGATCACTTTTATTAATTTTGTTGACTCTTATATTATTGCTACAAAGATCTGCATGAACAAGACAAGGTTTGTTGAATTCGGTTAATGTTTGTTTAATATCTTGATTGTAAAAATTAGTTAAAAAATGTCTGATTTCATTGGTCGATTGAAATTCTTGGTGGGTTTTTTGTATGTAATCTAAATCGATTTGGATGGATTCGAATTGCTCTATAATACACGGCTCAAAGAAATCTCTCCAGTTATCAAAAGCTCCCTCCAGTTTGGTATTTTGTAAACTTCCAAACTTGGTTGTTTTGACACTGTGAACCCTATATAAAATTTCTCCAACTTTTGAAAATACTCTTTTGATTTGATCGTCGTTCATTTCAGACGGTATTGAAAATATCTCGCTTAGATCACATTCGGGTATATAAGACTCTATCATATATTGATCGTTCTTGGTGTCTAATGAGATTAATTTTGGTATTTGTATATCTATCAATTCTAGCTCTGCATCTGTTAAAACATTTAATATAGTTGATTGCATAAGTGGTGTATGCATAATTGGACAATCCTCGCTTTTTAAATGTCTGGGTATTCTTATTATAACTTTATCATCATCGCTGCCATTCTCCAAACTGATTAAATACACATTATTGTCGCACCCCTTCGAACAGTCTTTAATATGTATACTATCTAAATTTAATTTAATTTGATCGATTATCCAATGACCCCCATCTTTTTGATTTTTTAAAATAGTTTTTATAATTGTTTGGGGGGAATTTTTCATTTTTTTTTTTTCTTTATTAAATACATATAAAATTTTAATTTAAAATAATATTATTAATAGAATGAAAAAAAAAAAATTTTGAAAAGGAAAAATTTATTTAATTAAATTATTTGATTATAATAATTTTAACAAAATAACTTTTTTTTTAAATTATTTTTAAAAAAAAAAAATTAAATTTTTTTAAATTTTTTTAAATTTTTTTTTAAAATTTTTTAAATTTTTTTTAAATTTTTTTTTTTTTTTTTTTTTTTTTTTTTTTTTTTTTTTTATATGTTAAGTGGTTGTATATGTGTGTTTTATTATTATTATCACTCATATTATAGGTTTCATAATATTTTCTATTTATTTCTTTTGGATTTTAAACTATTTAGTAATCAAAAAAACAAATTAAAATAAACTTAATATTACAATAACCAACAACACACATAAAAAAACATAATAGACAAATACAAATAACACAAAAAACTATTTATTATTTAGCATTATATAAAAAAACAAAAATAAATAAAAATTTTATAATATTATTATAAAATAAAGAAAATAAACAATATTTAAACATTATTATCTTTTACAGCAGTATATTTATTTATTATATATATTACATTCACTCGTATTATTATTATTATTATTTTATTGTAGTTAGCAGTTAGTTTAATTAATAACTCCTTTCTTTTATTCGTTTATTATAGATTATTATTATATCCATCAATTTTTTTTTTTTTTTTAGAATAATTATTATTGTTATTAATTTAATAGTAAAACCTTTTTTTTTTTTTTTTTTTTCCCCATTTATAGTCTTTTTTTTTTTTTTTTTTAAAAATAATTACACATACACATAAAACATGAATTCTAAAACAAATTCAAATTGGTATTTTTCTAAAGAACAAGTATTAAAACATTATGGTTCAGATATTAAATTAGAAATTACATATAGAAGAGCTTCAGCAGCATTTATACAAGATGTTGGGATTAGATTAAAAATGTAATATTAAATTAGAAGATAGATAGATACAATAATAATAATAATAAGATGATAATTTTTTGTAGTTGAATCGGGCTTTTTTTTTACTAAACATTTTTTTTTATTCTTTAGGCCACAATTAACAATTGCAACAGCGATATCCTATTTCCATAAATTTTTTATACGTCACCATCTTAAAGATCATGATAGATTTGTATGTATAATATCAAAAAGACTTAAAATAACAAATATTAACGATATTTTTTATTTATCTTTAGATTGTTGCAACAGCATGTTTATTTTTAGCAGGTAAAGTCGAAGAAACACCAAGAAAATTAGACGATGTTATTAAAATTTCATATATGGCAAAAAACAAGAAAAAAGGAGAGGCACCCGAAAAAGTAGCCCAACCTTCTCAAGTCGAACATAATTTATTGAGAAATAAAGTTTTACAAAATGAACATTTGATTTTAACAACTATAGCATTTGAATTGGTTGTAGAACACCCTTATAAATATTTATTAGAATATATGAAAACTATACAAGGAAGTAAAAATCTTTGTCAAGTTGCTTGGAATTTTGTAAATGATAGGTAAGTTTAAATAATTTAGGGAGAATAGGAAAAAAAAAAAAAAAATAGGTTTATTTATTTATTTATTTAAATTTATTTTATTTTATTTTATAGTTTAAGAACTAGTCTCTGTTTACATTATCCACCAGATTTAATTTCATATGCATCAGTTTATTTAGCTACTAGATTTTTAAATTTCAAATTACCAACAGATTGTAAAAAGGAATGGTGGGAAATGTTGGGTATTAGTTTCGAAGTTTTAGAGGATATTAGCAAACAAATTCTAGATCTTTATGAATCAAATCCATTTGGAAATGAAAAAAATAACCAAAATAATCAAAATAACCAAAATAAAAATACAAGTTTAAATAATAAAGAGACTGGTAGCGAAAATAATGATAATAACAATAATAATAATAATAATAATAACAATAGCAATAATGAAAATAGTAATACTACAAATGATAATAATAATAATAATACCGATAGACAACAAGAAGTTGAACAAGTACCATCAAATGATAATGATGCTAAAGTTCATTCAATTTCACCACCTAATACAACTACTTCAACTTCATCAGGAGCAGCTGCATTAAATCCATCAGCAAGTTCGAACTCTCCTTCATTACAACAAAAATTATTTACAAGTAGCAGCAGTAGTGGTAGTAGCAGTAATATTAAAGGTGGTCGTTTTTCTCCATACCATAAAAATCCAAATAAAAGATCACTTTCAAGATCTCCTTCACCAAATAACCGAGATTCAGCTGTACCAAATCAATAAATAAAATGAAAAATTATAAAAAAATATTTAAAAAATAGTTAATAATAATTATTAATAATAGATAGAATAATAATAATAATAATAATAATAATAATAATAATAATAATAATAATCAGAAAAAAAAAATTAAAAAATTAAAAAACTGTTATTTAAAAAAAAATCAAAAAACAAAAAACTAAACAACCAAAAATAGATTACTTAATTTAATAAATAAATTTAAATTCTTTTTTTTTTATTTATAATAATAATAAAAAAAAAAAAATAAATAAAATTTATATAAAAATTTATTTATAATACACACACTTTTTTTTAATTTTCTTACACACTAATAAAACAAAAGATTTATATTTCATACCATATTTATTTATTTATTTACTTTTTTTATTTTTTTTTTTATTTCTATTATTATTATTTTATTTTTTTTTAAATTTATATTTTCTTAAATAATTATCTAGTTTTCTAAAAATATTTTTTTATATATCTAAAATTAATTAATTTATAAAATGAGCCAAGGTACAATCTTAGATACATTTATTGGTAACGAAGATATAAATGGTACAATAATAGAGAAATTTCCTGTAAGATTAATAATTTTAAATATAAAAATAGAAATTATATTCATGGTATTAATTTTTTATACAGGATCAACCTCCAAATATTGTTAGAGTAATATTGGAAACCAATGTAAATAGCTATACTAAAAATTTAACAATTCATGTAAATAGAGATAGAATTTATACAGTCTATTCTGGCTATAGAAATGGAATAACCTACAAAGGTGGTATAAAATACAGTCAAGTAAGTTTTGAAATTGATCCATCAAGAACCAATGTATTGTTTTCATTTTGGAAAGCAAGAAATTTCGGATTACTCGAACGTATTACCGAAAGAAACTATTCGGTCTCTTCAATTCAAGGTAACACTCTTGTTATATCATGGCCAAATAGAAATAACTCACAACAGTTTTTAAACCCACAAAACCGTCATAGTCCTTCTAATTTTGGTTTATCAAATTCTTTAATTTAAACTTTATTATAAAAAAATAAAATAGGAAATTTTCACAGTATTTTTTTTTTTTATTTTTTTTTTTTATCATTTTTTTTTTTATTTTTTTTTTTTTTCATTTTTTTTAAATTTTTTTATTTTTATTTTTTTATTTTTTCATTTATTTTTAATAAATATAAAATAATAAACTTTTAATAGAACAATGACAGAAGTAGATCCATATAAAATTTTATTTGAACAAGATATTAAATCAGCCAGTAATATTCCATCAGTTACATTTATTTCCAATGTCGATGATTTTTTAAAGGATAAAGTAATTGATGAAGTATTTAATAGATTACAAGAAGCTCATCAAAAATATAAATACTACGAATCAAAATTAACCAATAATGTATCACTTTTAACTGTTAGAGCAAAACAACTTCAAGAATCTTTAGATATTGTCGAACGTGTTGAAAAGAAAAAAGTATATATTAATACCAAATAATAATAATAATCATTGTCATTTTACAAATAAACCACCAAATAGTTAATATAATAGGATAGAGTAATAGTTTATTAATATTCCAATTTTTTTCAAACAAGGATGACACATATAATGTTCAATATGAATTATCAGAAGGTGTTTATTCATCAGCAGAGGTCAAAGAACCAAAATCAATTTATTTATGGTTAGGTGCAAATGTTATGTTAGAATATTCATTTGAAGAAGCTGGTGAAGTTTTAAGAAAAAATAAAGAAAGTGTTGATCGTCAACTTAAAGAAACTATTCAAGATTTAGGTTTTGTTAAAGATCAAATTACAACCACCGATGTTAATATATCTCGTGTTTATAATTATGATGTTCTCCAAAAAAGAAAGCAAAAACAAAATAAAGGTAGAGAAGAAGAAGAAGAAGAAGAAAAATAAAATAGAAATAGAAACAATTCAAAAATATATGGAATGCTTTTAATTTAAAATTTATTTATAGTTTTTTTAAAGTCTCTTTTAGGTTTTTTTTTTTTTTTTTTTTTTTTTTTTGGGGTTTTTTTTTTTTTTTGGGTTTTTTGTTTGTTTTGGTTTGTTTTGATTTTT